AGTAGTAGTGGGCGCGTTTTTCCTTGAGTGCTCGGCTCAATCTCATCAATTGTGTTCGGTAGAGAGCCCCAGTAACGATTTCGTTCGGTTTGAGCAACTCATAATACACGACACCAAGCTGATCCCATCAAATACACAACATGAGTTTTTTTCCATGAATATTCGGCTGTCGATGTTAAAGCATGGCCAGGTGATCCCCATGATTTCCTCTTCTTTGGGTTATCGTAGTGGATCCATTTTTCATCACCAGTAACTATACGATGTAAAAAACCCTTTCGTTTATGCCTGATAAGCAGCATTTCACATATGGAAAATTGGCGTCCAACGTTTCTCGGCTTCAGTTCATATGGAACCCAATTCCCTTGCTTTTGAATCATTCCCAATGATTTCAAACGATGTGAAATTGCTTGTTCAGTCGCTCTTAATGTAAGTGCAAATTCTTTTTGCGTTTGGCACGAATCTTTATTCAATAATGCTTCCAATTCCGTGTCTTCGTACACTTTCGGCCTTCCGCTACGTTTTGTTTTCGACGTCAAATTCACCGTTCGTTCTTAAATTTTTGAAACCATTCACGACAACTTCTCTCACTTAAGGCAGCCTCACCATATGCTTCTACAAGCAATCGAGCCTCAGCTGCAGATTTCTTCAAATTAAAGAAGTAAATCAAAAGTTCCCGCAAATGACGCTTATTCGGCTTAAAACTCGGCATTTTCGCACAAAAAAAAATATATAATGCTGATATAAAATCACTAGTATTTCAAGTATTTTATGTTATTGACAGATGTCCAATCTTACGATATAATGTTTTACATCAGACAATTTTAACCATAGCTTGCTAGTAGCGCCGTCTTTTGTCAAACGGCGGAAACTTACTTGTACACCTAACTGTATTTTAATTATTATAAAAAGTTTTTTTTTAAAATAATATGAAATTACGATTAAAACAATACAATATTATTAATTATGATAAAACATGACCAGATAAAAATTGATTAAAAACGATATCTAAGCCATGCGACAAAAACGAGAAATATAAAAAAATCTATCAAATATATCAGGTAAATAATCTAAAATTTACGAACCAAAAACACGATATTATCGATATGGATAAAATATGGCTAGAATATTATCGATTTTGATAAAATATGGCTAGATAGAAATTGATTAAATACGATATACACAGCGACAAATATGTTCCCGGTCACGAACCACATCTCAGCAACCAGTGGCGACATCTGTGCGTTCAAACATGCATTTTAAAGGTTGAACATTTTGCTATCATCTGTCAAAGTTTCATTCATTTTGGTTGACATATAACGAAGATATGACAGTTCATGTTAAACAAGATTTTGGTTGAGGTAGAAATTTACCAATTACTGGTGCATATTATCTCGAAGTTTTAAAGCGATTGATGGGCAGAATTCATCATATTCGCCCCGAATATCGTGATCCAGAAGATTCTTTGTTGCATGATAATGCACCGAGTCACACTTCATTGATTGTCCGTCAATGTTTGGCTCTTCTTTGGAAATCGTGTCTCTATGTTAAACCATCCACCGTATTCACATGATTTTGCCCCCTGCGACTTCTCATTATTCCCAAAATTGAAATTGAAATTGAAAGGACGCTTTTTTGATGACATTCCGACCATCCAATCAGCTTCTATACAGGAACTAGAGGCAATTCCGCAAACTGAGCTAGAACATGCATTTGAATCACTATTGAATCGCTGTAACAAGTGTATTGAAGCCAGAGGAGAATATTTTGAATAATAAAACCAAAAAATATGCATATTTGTTGTTTCAATTATGATTTTCAGGCCCTGTCCGGGAACATATTTGTCGCACTGTGTATAAGCTATATAACAAAAAAGGATAGAGAAATATAGAAAATTTATTAGATATTTCAAATAAGTAATCTGAAATTTACGAACCAAAAACACGATTCAAATAAAATTTTTTCCTATCTGATTCTATCGGACTTCTTAAGCAGGGAACTTTAACAATCATCTAACGGATAGTTTTAAAGAGAAAATTAGTTCAGGATTGACCGGAAAATCCGAGTTTATTGAAAAACTCCATATATCTCCTGTCCTTTCTCTAAATAAATATATTCTGCTTAATCTAAATCGATTTAATGTAAATCGATTTAATTTATTATTGCAATCATACGCACATAGTAATTCGTAAAAACAATTACTTCATTTCTCGACTATTGTTGGTAAATTGGTGCATGGAACAAGCTGGAAATATTTTCATAACTCTACAAAATCATTGAGGAGAACGCAATATTTAATTTCTTCAATCCACGATATGGAACGCGCTTATATTTTATATTATAAATTTTCGCTTGTTCTACAAGAGCGTGTCTTATGATATATAACATCAAGATAAAAGCTAACGTGACGCAAGAAGGGTTTTCCATATCTAAGAAAAGACTTACCAAGTATAAGTAGGGCAGCGCCTGCCACCAGTAACGCCAACCTGTGGTTGGTGGTCGTTGCACCCGGAACGAGTTGGACGAGACCGACCACGAGCACCACCGCACCCAACAACAGACACACCACCACAGCGTGCAGCCCGGATATCTATAGGCAACGATCTTCATCAGGTGACGAATATGCTTATTTTCGCTTATTGCCGCTTCCGGCGCTTATACATATTATATATACACTATTATATTGTTCATAAGTTTCCAAAGATCCTTAAATATAAAATAAAAACACATTCTTTGAATTTTTGTTTAATACAACTGTAATAATTTGTCTCGGTAGTCTAAAGGCTTGAGATGCTTGTATGGAATACAAAGGATTCAAGTTCAAGGTTCTCGGCCGAGGTTTTTCGCAATAAATTTAATTATAATTTTTCAGCACATTAACATCTTTCTAATATGCCTGATTGAGCATTAAATTATTAAAAATTGCTTATCAATTTAATTTAATTTGTGATATTATTGCAGTAGTTTAATTGTGTTTATAAATCCGGAAAACCAATTCGGCGCGCAATTCGAATAACTATAAATATATTATTTATGCATGTATATATATATATATATATATATATATATAATAACTTATATACATATAATTCACTTTTAATTGAATTATTTAAAGCATTATTGAATTATTTCCAGCTTCGATTGACTTCCAGTTTATCGATCATGTTCTCACATATACGATCTAAAATAAAATTTTTATTGTTTGCAATAATTTGGTTTTTTAACTATAAAATAAATAAAATATCTGTGTCATGGATTAGAAAACTTACAATTTTTTCGCATCCTCCTTTTGCTTTTATTATAACTTTACATATTTTGGCATTATAAATTAATTTCTCAAGCATACTTAATGACATTTTTTTCCAGATTGGCGTCACTGTCAGAGTGGATGATCTACTTTTCTTATCTATCATTCAGAGATTTTTTTATAAATTGCAAACCGGCAATTTTTATCAGAATTCCATTCAGATACCGCATTGATAGTACCTTCCTTAACATCGATGTATCTGCATGGAATTCTGATAAAAATTAGTTCGGCTTTATTAATAAACAAATTGAGAGTTGTCAATGACGCCGCGAAAAGATGAAGTATCAAACTAATTACTAAATACAGTGACAAATTAACTTACGACAAAAATCAAAAACAATTCATTATCCAAGTTATCGGCGAATACAAAAAATGTATCCCAATGTAAATAAAAGCACTTTACTTAAACCGCTTCAATAAGAAATTTAATTTGGATAACTTACAGAGCTTTTTGATGATTATATGAGAAACTAAAATTCGAAATATTTTGTAAAATTTGGTTAAATTAATTAAAATCTTGTAATATTCGATGCAATAAGTAAATTTATTACTTATATATTTTTTATTCAGACAGTTGTCATTTAGACCGTCATCGCAATACATATCCTTGTAACGCTGTCAATTTCCTGTTCAATTTGTGAAAATTTTATTTTCGTGAAGTTTACAGGAATATTGATAGTTATCCGCTGTTAAAAGACTATTTTTACGGCGGAGTAATTTTTTTTTTCCTATGCGCAAAAATTGAAATTGCGCGAAGATAGAAAAATTATATTCACCGAGTCACTGCCGAGAGCGAGACTGGGATTGGAAGAGTAATGGGATTGTTTATTAGAGTAGGGGAGATATGATCAAAGTGGAAGCGAGTCTTAAGCCGAGCGGCAAACCGTGAAACTTCAAACGTCGGCGTATCGCATGCTACAAGATTTCTTAAGAATATTAAATTAAATATATTGAGAATTAATATTAATTATTTGAATTCTGTCATATTAAAATTACATTTTTGTAAATCAATATATTGTCTGAGCACAATTAATTATTATTTATTCAAAATTTAGAATATTCATTAAATTCGATTGATACTTCTAAGAAACAATAATTGGTTCAGACAAATTGTGTTTGATAAGGAAATTTACCATAGAGTCGAGCAATTCAAGCCGTTTCATATTAGATGTTACATGATAACTTGATAGGTATATAGGATTTATGAGGGCAAATCAATAAATACCGTGTTAGTAATGAAGACGCAAGCTTTTCACAAAAATTTTTTTTATTTTTCAACGTAATCCCCTTTTAGGAGGATATACTTTTCTCAACGTTTCTGCCATTTTTTTAACTCCTCAGAAAAATACGATTTGTCGAACTCTGTAAAATAGGCCTCTGTTTCGGCAATGACCTCATTCGACGTGAATTTCCACCGAGCCATTTTTTCAAGTTTGGAAACAAGAAGTCACAGGAGGCTAAATCCGAAGAGTACGGTGGATGCGGCAGCAATTCGTAGCAACCGCATCCGCTTGTTGTCCATCATGAGCAATCGGGCCGACAGCTTTTTCATTCCCAAGTTATCATGCAAAATATGAATGCCATTCCGTACGACACGCCTCTGCTACTTCATGCACTTTCGTTCGGCGATCAGCGAAAGTCATGTCGTGCACTTTTTCAATGATTTCCTCAGTAATCACGGGTGGCCGGGTGGCTTGGGCGCTCTTTATCAAAAACAGACGAACGACTACGTTTGAATTCGTTGAACCAATATCTGACGGTTATCATAGATGGTGAAGAGTTCCCGTAGACGGCACTCATTCATTTTTATTTCTTCGTACGTTTTTCCATCCAAAAATAAGAAACGAATCATGGATCGATATTGCTCTTTTTTCATTGTATTGGAAAACATCAAACTTACTACGAATTGCTATCAAATCAAGACTATTGCATGAATCACTCTAAAATTTTGTATGGCGTCGTTTGAAAGATGATAGTACACGATGATAATGCCAACTTGCATCAGCAACGTCGCCTGTCTTGAAACACGGGTACTTATTGATTTGCCCTTGTATGGGCCCATTTGACACAAGTAACTGCTCAGGAAATAATAGGTTTAGTTGGCTGGTGCTGACGTGGCGCTGAGGTATCGATAATTGCGGTGAAAGAAGTTGGTAGCGCTGGCGGTGTGTATGTATGGCGCGAGCGAGTGCAGCGTACGTGTAAAAGTCAGCGATCAATATAAGCTCAGCTCACATTGTAATAAAGGATCTCAGTTTCTTTGCAATTCATTAATACAGTCCACACAACTGAGGAGAACATCTCATAAGGCATTTGGTCAAGTCCCCGGCTCACCATCGAGCACATTCCATAACACTAGGAAAGGAGAGAAGAGTGGATTAAAAGAAAAGTGAATACAACACAAAATAAAAATTTACATCTTTATTAACAGGATAACCTGCCGGCATGCGGGTTATTGTCCAGTTATTGACGTTTGAGACGACTCGAGAGAATCACCGTGATATTTTAGAGGCCTTAAAGGCCTGACGTGAGATGGTCATAAGCCGCGTTCCGGCGACAAGAGACAGTGGCGTCGACCCTCACAACGCGTTGCTGGACGATCAGCTTCTTGCGCGATGCGGGAGACTTCCGAGTTATAACCCATGCGGCCTTTAGCCTCTGATATATAAGGACTTGCCTACCAGCACGATTACTCTCTTTGTCATTCTATAGAAAAGCAATTTTTATTTACCAACGCGATAGTTTGAATTAAAATTGCAATTATTTAAATGAAAAAAATTAACAATTAATATGAATTGAGTGAAGGGTAACTGAAAAGAAGAATTGAGCAGCTTCTATAAGCGCGATCAATTCTGAGAAAGGAAAAACTGAGCAGTTTCTACAAGCACAGTCAACTCAAGGAAAGAGAGAGAACTGAGCAATTTCTACAAGCGCGGTCAGCCCCTTGGGGTATTAGGAAAAACAGAGTATTAAAGAACTGAGACATTCGTTTCTTTTCTTGAGAATTATATCATATTGTGGCATATTTCAAATTTTCTGCTCTTCGACAGGTTCCGATCCGAACAGAAATTCGGCTGAATAAAAAATTATCACGGAGTTCGGTTTTCGCCGCGTTTATATAGGCGCTAGTCGATGGCGCTCGCGAGTCGGGAGGAAGAGAGGGCTCGATTTTCCAGAAATTGGAACTACCTGACGAATTTGTATTAAATTTCCTATAGAAATATTGATTATATTACACTGGAATTTGGCATGGAAGCAACAAATTTAATGTAATTTTGAAAGATCGAATCAATTTCTTGTTATTTAATAACATTTTGAAGTTATTAGTTAATCTAATTTTCAGATTTTTCTCCCTAATTCATGCCGCTCCTTCCTTCATGGTCGGCGCTCACTATTATACTATTTCGGCTGAATAAAGTAATTACAACGATTAAGAAAACGATAACTAAATAAAAGTGTAATGAATATGTCGCAGGATCGCAAATAATATTTTTAGCCTGAGGGGCCGAAATCTCATGTGGCGCATCTTATGTGTCGCAAAATAATATCATCTATCGGAAGATTGTTGAATTGATACCAACATTTTCAAGTGCAGCCTTTTCTAGATCCTGCATAACTATATCAACTAAAATAGGTAATAAAATTGGAGAGCCTAAAATCGATGTGCCGAAAATTGGCTATTGCAACCAATTAAAAATGCCATGTCATATTTTACCATCTAATTTGCTGCAACAGCCAATCTTTTCTTTCAGTGTAACAAAACACGTGTGCACGCAAAAATATAAGATCATTCAAACATCAAATATAAGATCAGTCAAACAAGATATATGGTTAATGCAACAATATTTTATTCAATTAAACTTAACTGTAATCTGCTTATCAAATTGTTCAATGTTGGTTAACGAAAATGATTCAATTTTATTTTAATTGACAGGACGTATATTTATTTGGATAATCTCACGAAGTCAACTAAATCCGTTCATATTATATGAGTTTATATTTATATGAGACATATGGTATATATATATATATGTCTCATATAAATATAAACTCATATATAACTCATATAATATTAGGTGTACAAATAAGTTTCCGCCATTTTTATCACAAATTAAGCATTTATTGTGAAAGAACGATATAAAACACGGCGCTACTAGCAAGCTATGGTTAAAATTGTCTGATGTAAAACATTATATCGTAAAGTTGGACATCTGTCAACAACATAATCTTGAAATACTAGCGATTTTGTATCAGCATCATATTTTTTTTTGTGCGAAAATGCC